TCAAGAAATCAAGACGGCCGAAAAGGCCCCAAAGACCGCCCTGGATACGTGCAGGAACCCCCTGAGACGGACTCAAATGCACCCAAGAGGCCCGCGACATACCTCAACTAGCATTTGAAGAGACCCCCCTGGAGGGCCTCAAGATGGCCCAGTAGCGGACACAACTTTCACGCCAGGCCTCACGCCCCCAAACGGCCCAGTGACGACCACTGCTTGGACGCCAAGGCTCCCAAGAGCTCCAGGTGACGGATTACCTCGACTTAGTACAGTCTGCGACGTCAGGCAGCATGAACGGCGCATCAACGTGAACGACTCCGCCACTGCGCGCAACTGTCCCTCAAATCGCTACTACTCCTGGGGCACCCGCTCCTCGGTGTGTACAACGCATCGAAAACGTGACTCAACCTGCTGCTCCTCTTAGTCACAACTACTCTGCTTGTCTGCGTGGCCCACTGAGTGAGAATATCTTGTTGGGCGCTTTCAATCCACAGTTTGAGAAAGCCAAATGGCTCCAGGGGGTCGGCTGTGCGACGTAAGCCTTCTTATTAATCAGAATAACAATAAAACTCATCCGCCGGCCCCCTTGTGGGGCCACCAGGCTGTAGGCCGGGAGTTCGCAGTGTTCTATACCAGTTGCAGTTGCAGCTTCCAGTTTCCACTGTTACAGTTCTGCTTCTTGTTGCTTACTGTTCCTTGTTGACTTCTTGCTGCTTACTGTTCCTTGTTGATGGATCCCGCGAGAGGGGGGAGGCCCAAAACGGGGAAATCGTATGCTCTGAATTGCTGGGGCGGGTAAAAATTGACACTCCTCACGCCGATCGGCGGGGTCAGGGTCCAAAAACACATGGGATTTGCCGCATTACTGAAATTCGGTGGCACCCCTCACGCAGATCGGCGGGGTCAGGGTCCAAAAACATATTGGATTTGCCACATGTCTGAAATCCGGTGAAACCTCTCATGCAGATCCGTCAGGTCAGGGTCCAAAAACACATTGGATTTGCTACATTTCTGAAATTCGGCGGCGCCTCTCAGGCAGGTCCGTAGGGTCAGGGTCCAAAAACACATGGGATTTGCCACATTTCTGAAATTCGGTGGCACCCCTCACGCAGATCGGCAGGGTCAGGGTCCAAAAACATATGGGATTTGCCACATTTCTGAAATTCAATGGCACCCCTCATGCAGATCGGCAGGGTCAGGGTCCAAAAACACATGGGATTTGCCACATTTCTGAAATTCGGTGGCACACCTCACGCAGATCCGTAGGGTCAGGGTCTAAAAACACATGGGATTTGCTACATTTCTGAAAATCGGTGGCACCCCTCACGCAGATCGGCAGGGTCAGGGTCCAAAATCACATGGGATTTGCAACTTTTCTGAAATTCGGCGGCACCTCTCATGCAGGTCGGCAGGGTCAGGGTCCAAAAACATGGGATTTGCCACATTTCTGAAATTCGGTGACACCCCTCACGCAGATCCGTAGGGTCAGGGTCTAAAAACATGGGACTTGCCACATTTCTGAAAATCTGCGGCACCCCTCACGCAGATCTGTAGGATCAGGGTCGAAAAACAAATAGGTCCCGACACTGCTTCACGGCGAAGCCAAAGCCTCATGACTTCGCGCTTCCATGGCCCATTCTCCGAGAGAGGGGGCCGGCAGGGGGCGAAGTCCTTACGGATAATAATAATAATGATTATCCGAATGGAAAGGCCGAACGGTCATTCACTGTTCCTGGGTGCGTGGCTGAAGCGGGGATCCGCTGTGCGGATTGTTGTTGCGTTGCGTTGCGTTGCGATATTGTCGTCGTCCCTCTTGAGACCTGGCCCACCACCCGCGACCCGCCCGCGACCCACCCGCGACCCACCCGCGACCCACCCGCGACCCGCCGTCGACCCTCCCCGCGCCCGCCCCATCTCATCCGCAACTGCGGGGTGCTGCATAATGAGAGGCGAACGCGTCCATTCAAATCACGGGCAACATGCATGCACCATCTCAGCCTTTGCCGCGCCGCTACGCCTCCCGTGCTGCTCAAAACACCTACAACTACAACATGTCGTCTGCGTCGTGTACTCGGCTCTTTGGTCCGCCTCTCCCTGCCGCTGTCCGAGCGTCCACAATCTGCGAGATCGTCGCAACACATGTCCTTCCCCAAGCAATGCTTGACCTGACGGAGCTCTTACTCCTTACTCGCCTGGGAAGCAAGTGCCTCCCGTCGCCGCGAATTTCCTTCAGCCGGCCCTGCCCCCGACGGGCCCCAGCCCTCCGACGGGCCGCAGCCAATTTCCGTGGTCTGGAACTGCCCCCGACTGTGCCCAGCCCCGGTGCTCGCCCCCGTCGCGGCCTTCTCCTTTGCTCGGCCCCTTCCCCTGCTCCTTCCCCCCCCCCCAGCCCTGTCGCTTGCCCTCCGCTGCCAGCGAGTCCCGTGGTTCGGCCCTGTCCCCGACTGCCCCTGGCCTGGATGCCTGTGCTCCGTCGCCAGGACGAGGAGGAGGAGGAGGAGGA